TCCAGGGAGGGAGACGGGCTTGGGCCCAAAGGAGCAGGGTTTCTGTTCCCTGGCCCCTGCAGTGGGGCCTGCTCCCCAACGCACCGGCGGTGGGCATGGGGAGGCAAAGGCGCTGAACCACACGCCCTGGCCCGCCCAGGAACTGCGGCTGGGCTAACGTAGAGAGCAGCTGATGGAACCGGAGGCGGGGCGGGGGGTGCTGGCTGATGTCTCCCCCCTTCGTGCTGAGGGCTAGGAACTGATTCCTGCTGACTGAGCACCAGGCAGATGTAGCCAGAGGAGCTGGGGGGACGGGAGGGACAGAGCCTCACAGGGAAACAGCTTCCTACTGCTGTCAGGAGGCCACGAAGCCTGCTCAGAGGAAATCAGACCAATGATGGCGGGAGAGGTGCAGGCCGCAGCCTCCTGGCAGCCTCGTGGTTTAATCCTGGCCTGTTCCCAGACCCCGGGCTGGCCAGCTGCAAGGGGCGTGAGCGGCAGGGTCCTGCCGAGCAGCGATGCGCAGGGTTTGCCCTGCTTGGCGATGGCAGCGTCCAGCCCTCGCTGTCACGGCCCCTCCGAGCGGCACGGCAGAGCCAGGGGGCTGGTGAGCTGAGCTCTGTGCCCTGCTTGGCTACAGCCTGGGCCAACTCCAGCCAGGTCAGGGGCTCGGGACTGGGTCAGGCGCTCCCTGTCATTGGCTCCCCTGGGAGCAGAGCAGGCCGTTAGCTCCCCCATTTTCCTCCCTCCCAGACAGGCTGAGGAGAGCTTGCGGGTGTTTGGGAGGAGCCGGGAGCCATCACAGAGCAGGCCCTATGGTAGGAGGGGCTGGCGGCTGAGTTAAAGCCCAGGAGGGTCCTTGCACCCTCCCAGCGCGAAGGGGTTGTTACCAGGTGCCCTTGTCTCCCGGTTTCCTACGGGGTTGCTCTGACACGCTCACTCTGTGGGGCAGGGCCAGGGCCAGGGCCAGGGCCAGCGGAGGGTGCCTGGCTCAGGGAGGTACTGCTCTGGCTCGGGAGGGTGGCAGAATCAGGCTCTAGGCCGAATCCTCACTATGGAGTGTTCTCTGTGTGTCCTGAACTGTTGGACCGTGGTGTGTGCCGGTGAACAGCTGCCACCTTCTGCCCCAGAGGTGGCTGCATTGCAGCCGGGGTGAATCCAGTGCAGGGATGTGACTATGGGTGTAGAGCCAGCAAGGTGGCTGATCTCAGCCAGCCAGTGCTTCTTCCCCCAGTTGGATGTTTCTAATGCAAGTGAAAATGGAGCGGGTGGAGAAAAAGGGACTGAAGGGCAAGAGAGGAGCCGGATGGGGCCGGCCTGTCCAGGGGCCCCGTTGTGTGTTCAGGGGCAGGAGATGCTCCTAGTGACCACAGCTGCGTTGGGGAGGAAGGGGGCTCCGTTGTCACTCCAACCCCAGCTGCGCTGCAGCCCCCCATGGGCCATGCTCTGCCAGTGATCTGCGTGCCAACACTGCCCCCGCTGCCTGCCGCCCTGCAGCCTCATGCAGGGATGGGCAGCGGGAGAGGGAGGGCGGCAGCAGGCCCAGAGTTTACCGATTCTGTGTCCCATAGGAGCCCGGTCAGCTGGGACTGCCTGGCAAAGACCCTGCCAGCCATCACACCTGGGCAGCGAATCCTGTGAGTGCGAGCGCACCCGGGCGTGGGGTGGAAAGGCAAACCCGCAGGCCTCCACTACACACATGGTTTCCAGCCAAGCCAATGTGAGCCAGCCACCCCGCAGGGCAGGACGGCCGTAACTCAGCCTGCCCCCAGTGCTCAGCCTGCCCGCGCCTGACCCATATCTAGCCCGTGTCTAGCTGCATCACGGTGCTAGGAGCCCTCCGCCCCATTTCCCTCGTGCATGGTTGGTTTAGGAACAAAGATCTAATGGCTGATTCCAGGGGCAGTTAGTGCCATTCATCTGCCCCTCCGCTAGGAACTCTGCTCGCAGGCTCCGAGTGCAGGTTATCGCCATGAATCCATGCGGCCGTGCAGCTCCCCTGGAGGCGGGGGCGTATTATTATCCCTTACGTGCAGCTGGGCCAGCTGAGGCAGAGAGTTGTGACGTGCCCAAGGTCGCCCAGCAAGGCAGTGGCAGAGCCAGCACAGACCCAGGCTATCCTAGCTCCCACGCCTGTGCCCTAACCACTAGAGAACACTCTCCTTGGAGAGTCTCCACAAGAGCTTCCCGAAGCGTTGAGGGGATGGTGGCGCTTACGTGGCCTTGCAAGGCACCTACAGCAGCCGTGCTGGGCCCTGGAGTGACTCTCCCAGCCAGGTGCCAACCTGTTCAGAAGGGATCAGAGATTCTGGGCAGTTCAGGTTTTGGGGTCTGGGGGATTTTCAGAGGTGGGTGCCCAACATTTCTTAAAACCAGAACCCTTAAAGGTGTCTCCAGATGGGCCCCCAAAATGGAGCCCTGCCCCCAACTCACTCGTCACTTATGGATATCTTACTCCACGACCTTTGGCCTCAGAGAGCACAGGCCCTCATCCAGCCGCAGGGAGGGGCAGGGTCAAACCAGAGACAAAGGCCCCAGAGCTACAGGAATTGGCTGTTCCTGGAAAGCCTGGGGGGGTGTGGGGCCCAGGTAGGAGGTGGCCTGAGGGCCTGGGGTGCGCCACGGAGCAGGTGTGTTGTGTGTTGTTTGCATAGACCCCTCGCTCTGCGCTGATACGTTCGTGAGCAATCTCCCGCTGGAGTGTCTGCGTTGCGTGTCGCTACTGAACTCAGACGCTAATAGCAGCAGCAGCCCGAGTGGAGAAATAAAGCTAAAGCAAACACTGCCGTCTCGCTGGTCGGATCAATCTCCCTGCGCCGCGCCAGGGGCCGGGGACGCTGCGTTCAGTGCTCAGAAAAATGAGCAGTTGGTTGTATCTGCAAGAAGCTAGTGTGGGCAGCTCCCGGGCAAGCTTAGCTCTGCCAGTGCCTTGCGGTCCCTGCTGGCATCCCCTCAACCCTCTGCTCTGCCAGTGCCCCTCACGCCCAGCCTGGGGGCCCCCTGCTATTGCAGGCCTGGGGTCCCACACAGCTCTTGCCAACGCAGCTCAATCCTGACCTGAAACTTAGCCTGTGCCGGGTCCGGCTCCCAGCCCCAGCGTCTTTGCTGGCGTGTCTTCATGGTGAGCTCAGCACGCCCTGCTATAGTCCCACCATAACAGTGCTGCCAATGCACGTGTCCCAACCCCAGATGTTCTTCTTCTGAGCTGCCAACACCCAGCCGCACCATGGAGCCATGGGGCTTGGGACAGGAACTCAGACGCAGAAGGGGAAATAGGCAGTGGATACCAATTGGCTCCAAGATAACATGGCGACTTTCCCAAACTGGGGAGGACAGGCCCACGAGTGCTGTAGGTGCGAAGCTCATGTGGAATACAGCAGCCAGGCAGCATTATCGGGACAAAGCAGGGAAGGGATCCCCTCATGCCTCAGGAGAGAGGAAGAACCTGGGTACTTTAGCAGCAAAAGCACAGGCTTGAGCTGAAGGCTGCCTTGGAGTAGCTGGGACCAAGCCAATTCTCAGCATTGTGCCCCAACGTCCCACGCCAGAAAAGGGAGTGAGCAGGGAGGTGGTAACATCCGCAGCTGACACCACGTTCTCTGGACTTGAGAAGAAGGGCAGGAAATTCAGAGGCACCCAACCAATCAGGGTGAACTGGCAACACGATGGCAAATGAAACTCAGTGTTGCTGATTGCAAGGAAAAGCCCATTGGAAGGAATAATTTGACCTACTCATGCCCGTTGTTCAGGTTCCAAATTAACCACAAGCCTTCAGGAAATAGCCATGTGCTCAAAGTGCAGCGAGTAGGCAGAGAAGGAAACAAGAACCCAGATCACTGACTGGTGTGAATCGTCACACACCATGGGTGGGACTGGTGTGAATCGTCATACACCGCCGGTGGGACTGGTATGAACCGACAAACACCGCTGGTGGGACTGATGTGAACCGACACACACCACCTGTGGGACTGGTGTGAACCATCACACACCATGGGTGGGACTGGTGAGAACCTAGAAACACTGCCGGTGGGACTGGTGTGAACTGACACACACCATGGGTGGGACTGGTGTCAACTGACACACCGCCAGTGGGACTGGTGTGAACCATCACACACCATGGGTGGGACTGGTGAGAACCTAGAAACACTGCCGGTGGGACTGGTGTGAACTGACACACACCGTCAGAGGGTTTGGTGTGAAAAGTCACACACTGCCAGTGAGACTGGTGTGAACCAACACACACCACTGGAG